GTGTCCAACATGCTGTGAACACGCTAACAGTGACTGACACGCTGTGAACACGCTAACAGTGTCTGACACGCTGTGAACATGCTAACAGTGACTGACACGCTGTGAATATGCTAATAGTGACCGACACGCTGTGAACATGCTAACAATGATTGACACTATGTGAACATGCTAACAGTGTCCGACACACTGTGAACACACTAACAATGTTCGACAACCTGTGAACAGGCCAACTGTGTCTGACACGCTGTGAACACGCTAACAGTGTCTGACATGTTGTGAACACGCTAACAATGTCCGACACACTGTAAACACGCTAAAAGTGTCTGACACGCTGTGAACCCTCCAACAGTGTCCAACACATTGTGAACATGCCAACAGTGTCCAACATGCTGTGAACATGCTAACAGTGACTGACATGCTGTGAACATGACAACAGTGACCGACATGCGGTGAACACGCCAATAGTGTCCGACCCGTTGTGAACACGCCAGCAGTGTTGTTTCCTCACAGATGTCGTCAATAAATGTCACAGATATGAGGAGCAGTTGTGTAAATTAAAAAAAAAACTTGCTTCTGTTCCTTTATTTTTTTACCCCACTACCATAAAAGCAATCATGTAATTGTGCATGTTCATTTGTTCGTCAGTCTGTTAGTAAAATGTCTCACAAACCACTAGACCACGGGTCTGTAACCCGTGGCTCTGGGACCACATGTGTCCGACACGTTGTGTCTCACTGCAGCAGCTCTGTGAAGCTTTAACCAAAGCAAACAAAATTTAATTTTGCTGGCTTGTAAAATTTTAGCTGTGTTTATGTCAAATTTTATTTTTTGCAAATATGTGAATACTACTAATACAAGGAGCACAGCATGGTTAGATTTAGCTACTTAATTTATCCCACTTCCAGCCCTGCAGCGAGATATTTCTTTCAACTCCACCAGAAATTCTTTGGAATATTTTGGGAACAAGTTGATTAGAAGAAATACGATGAGTCAATTTTATAACAACTAGAAAAATAAAACAATTAAATTCAAAGTTAAAAAAAAAGCTTCCGTTTTTAATTTTAAAAAATGTATTCCGTCAATTATATATCCAACAAAATGGCCGAGTTTTTATGTACACCTTAAATTCATGATTTATTACTTCAATTTAATTTTCCCACAAATAGAAAGACGACCCACACAGGCCGTGTTTGGTATTTATTATAAATTGTCCTTCATTAAATAAATATGGCCCTTTTATTGTCCTAAAATTTAACAATATAATATTAAAGTTTGTTATATATTTTTAGTTTCATAATGCCACCCTTAACAGCCAGACCCCCTGACCCCCCCAACAGAATTCAGTGATTGCCCAGATCACTTGCCTTGGCAGGGCGATCATCTCTTTGGGGATTTTTGTCAATGGGGGTGGGGCTTGGGGTTGAGGTGGAGACGGAGACGTCTGTGTTGCGCGCTAGCTTAGCTCTACGTTAGTGCCAGCAGTTGTCGACCGGGGGGGGGGGGGGGGGGGGGGGGGGGGGGGGGGGGGGGTGCATGAGAGAAGTGGAGTGCTACATCTGTATTGTGTGCCATTAGCTTAGCGCTAAGTCATTGCCGGCAGTTGTCACTGGGGGAGGTAGGCGGGGTTCTCGGTTCTTTTAAGAGGGTGGGGCGCCCTCTTTGGATAACAGTAGGGGAAAGACTGGAATTGAAGTGGCCCACGGGTCAGCAGTTGATGTTATAGTTGTAGCAGGTTTTGCAGCCCAGGACACATTTTATTTGGAGTGATGAGGCAGAAACGGTTCTTTTGATTCAAAAGGTTGCAGACCTGATCTAGACAGATTTGAATGAAACTCAGACACTAATAACATTCAGGATGGCCGCCACAGCCTTAGCAAACTCCAAAATGCCTAAAACTCTGTGATTTTTGCAGATAATACGCTAGAATTAGGCGTGGTAGTAGCTGAGAGTCATCTCCAGCACATGCTTTGAAGGCAAATGGCTCCAAAAAAATCTTTGTTTAAATCTTGAAGTGCAAATAACCCCGCCCTACTGAAAAGTCTGATTTTATTCATTTTTCTTTTCTTTGTTCGTTCAAAATCTCAAGAATTTCTATTAAAACCCGAACAAACGAGCTAGCTTCATAAACTCTGCCAATGTGATTATTAAAAATCTGAACGTTGATCCGTCTACCTCGAGTTTTTGTGCTAACAAACGGCAGGCGAGGTTCTGTGATGGCTACCTGCGGGTTTATTCAAGTCAGTCACGACACAACTGTGGGCACACACGGCGCGAGATAAAAGCAGGGAGTCCGCACAAACGCTACGCACTGAGGGTGCACCTGTTTGCAGACCGACCCTAAAACAAGAACCGAAAACCAGCTTCCCATCATGCGTGTGCTTCCTTTCAGGATTGAGAGCATTAAACTTGTGCTCGTTTGGTTTAAACAGACAAGACGAGGGAACACCGGAATAAAAGCGTCTCAGTTTCTCATGACTTTGTTACTTTAAAAGACTTTTTTTTGCGTTAGCTCGGTGAATCACTCTTCGAGGATCCAGTCCGGCCTTTTGTACCCAAAAAGTCTGAAGTCAGGCTCATAAAGTTTGTACAGCTCCTTACGCACCTCGACAGGTACTGTGCTGAACCAATCGGACTCCCAGCTGCTGGCTGTGAGGTTCCTGTGCGAGGTGGGGAACTCCACAACATTGTCCACCCGCAGCAGGCGCAGAAGGTGCTCGGCGTCCTCCTCTGCCGTCTCCAAGTGGCCCACGAAGTCATACTGGATTTGGCACGGGTGGCACAGCCGATACACCTGCCGCCAGTGCTCATTGAAGGGCGCGTCCTTCTCGGTCCGAGGGTCCAGGAGGTACCGGATGAAGTGAGAGAACGTGGGTCGGATGCCCAACGTAAACGCCTCGTCCACAGAGGTAGGCGGTGTCTGGTTGGCGTAGCGGCGCAGCATGACTTGTGCAAAGCGCCGGTAGAAGTCCTCGTTGCGCATTTCAAATTTGTTCCTGAAGGCAGAGATGAGACGCACAAAGGGGTCCCGGACAAAAAGGAACTTGGTGTACTTCTTCAGCTTCACCTGCGAACACAGAACAAGGTCCAAAACATCACGAAATTCACATTTACGTTCGGACAAACATCGTTAAACACAACGGGCCACGATGCATCCTAAAAACACACCAGAACCCTTCGGTTCACAGAATGATCTCGCTAATCTGCAGCCAGATGTGCACATCTGTTCACAACAAAGGTTTTAGTTTAGAAGGCTCCAGATGCGAAGGAAAGGATAAGACGTGAAAATTAGGGGCGCACTGATAAATCAGTCCCGATTTCCTTAATTTTGAGAGATCAGCCGATGCACGAGAAACCGATTTTACTGATTTTTTTGTTGTTTTAACAACAATCGTCTAATCTTTACATTTCAGAGCACTACCTCATGGCCCGTTAAAACAAGTTTGCATTGTTTCTGGGATATTGTTCAAGGGTCTGTTTTTCAATAAAATAATATTGGAAGATTGAAGGTGCATTGTGACCTTATAACACCTGACAGTGTCGCTTATTAAACTAAATCAGAATCGGCAGCTCAGACTTTTTATAGATCGGTGATTGGCCAGAAACCTGAAATCTGTGCACCTCTAGTGAAAATGTTTGAAATGAAAGTAACAACTAAAATCTTATTTTTGATTGCTGCGTAGCAATAATATGTTTATGTATTAGAATTAAAAATAAATGTTGTCAGTGGGATTGGCCTAAATTCAACCTGTAGTTGTTACCAGCTGTTAGCTGGTGCGTTCCTAACAAAGGAGAGCTGGACGAGTGTGTGCAAGACCGCTGTGACACATTAGTGATGGGCAACATTTGACGTCTTGTTAAAATGAGTAAATTGAAGGAATTGGGACGAACTTCTTTTGTTTATCTGTATTTTTACACCGGCAGCTGCTTGTGACATGGCAACTTAGCGTTTTTTCTTTTTATAAAGCGCCTACCACCCACCAGGAAAAAAAAAGACAAAACAACTCTGAGCACCTTTGGGTCTGTTTCTGACATTGTAGTTTATTTTGAAAGGATTTTAAAGTGGAACCTATGGTCACAGGTGAGTTTATATTTACCGTCCTGTTTACTTGCCTTAGCAAGGCGCTCATATCTTCTGCGATTTTTGTAGATGGAGTGGGGGAGAGACACGGAGACACGTCTGTGTTGCATGCTATTTGTAACGGGGGGAGGGGGGGGGGGCTCAGAGTGAGGGAAACGAAGCACTACCTCTGTGGCTTTTTAGCTAGCGTGTATGTATTGCACACTGCTGGCTTAGCGCTACGTCAGTGCCTGATGCATTAAACTGATGAAAGTGAGGGACCCCCTGACTAACAGAATCTGAAGGAACATCCATCCATTATCTTTTACCCGCTTCTTCCATTTTGGGTCACGGGGGTCGTCGGTGCCCATGTCCAGCAATCACTGTGTGAGAGGCGGGGTACACCCTGGACAGGTCTCCAGTCCATCACAGGGACACATAGAGACAAACGAGACAAACAACCATTCACTCTCTCACTCACACCTAGGGACAATTTAGAGTTACCAATCAGTTTAACATGCATGTTTTTGGTCTGTGGGAGGAAACCGGAGTATCCGGAAAAAACCCACGCATGCAAAGAGAGAACATGCAAGCTCCACCCAGAGGGGTCCCCGGACCGGGATTTGAACCAGGGACCTGCGCGCTGAGAGGCAGCAGCTCTACCAGTTGCGCCACCGTGCTGCCCCTGAAGGAACATGATTAAAATAAAAATTGAATAAATGTTAACAGATTTTAAGAGTGCATTTGTTTCAGGGCGGCGCGGTGGTGATCGGTCTAATGGTAACAGAACCAGTATAAAGTGGGACAGATGTGGAAAAACTCTAAAAATGACTCAAATGTTGTTTTGGTTTGGCCTAAAAATGGGCAGATGGCAGACACTTTATTGAAATGAAAAAAGGTTTAAAAGAATCATAACTCTGTGGTCATTTATCATCACTTTAAACTCATGTTATCAACTTTAAATACGTCCATAAAGTTGATCATTTATGTTTGTATGTGTATGTACACCCATAGACTACATAACATCCTGTTCTCTGCTCACAGAGGAAACAACCCCACAGTTAAAAAGCTGTATTGTCCAAACATACCTTCATGAGGTGCCTCGCAAACTTGCCGTAACGTTTCCAGAACTTGTTGAAGGTAAAGTGCATGCTGCTGTTGTGGACCAGGTCCCGGGGGATTGCCAGGGGGTCCCTCTGAGGAACACCCTCCTGCTGCAGGCTCTCACTAAGAACGATCATGATGCGCTTCCAGTTACTGCATGCTACCTGGAGGCCAGAGCAGAGGAACTGGTGGAAATAATGTCGTAAAAACAACAGCTGGGTGGTTGCAACCCTCGATCTGTTATATGAACCACTAGAGGGCGCACTGGTCATGTGACCTTGTGATTCACTGCAGCCACGGCAGCCATTATCAAAATGGTCAAACATGTGCATGTGGCATTTTGACTAAAAATCCCTGTGTAGGTGGTGACTATGTAAAACAAAATGTCAAAAATAATAATAAAGCGTACGTAATAACATAATATTAGACTGTACATGAAAATGTAAAATTGCAAGAAGGTTGCGTGTGCTACGGCTATAACGTCAGAAGAAAAGAAGGAAAACATGTCTCCTTTCACAAGTAAGTAGATTTGATCTTATTTGCCTCCATGTGAACGGGATCCAACAAGAACTGAAGCTAATACTGTAACGGTTTAAACGTAGCCTGTAAAGTTGATGAAATGGCTGTTAATTATTGGGTCGGCTAGTAGATATTAGCTTAAGTTGTACAGGCTGAATCATGTCACAGTTTATACAAATTATTAAATAATACAAGTTGTTGTTGTCTCCTGTAACAATTCATTAGCTGCTATTTTTATTTGAATTCTGAATATATACTTTTTAATCTTAGATATAGATTAGACACTGATCACTGCAATAAGCTGCAGCTAGCAGAACCTACATAAATACAATTTACACGTTAAAAAAGTTAGTTTCAAATGTGTCAACTAGTTGAAGTCATAACTATTTAACTAACTAAAAATCCTTGAGATCATTGGAAGTTGATCATTAATTATTGACTGACTTCAGATCATTAGTTAGAATAGTTTCCTTCTATAACATCTAGCTGTTTTACATGCTTGTTGTAAGAAATTAACATTAATTATAAATTGTATTAAGTTATAGTAAACATATTAAATAAAAGTTTTTACACAGATACAGTTGTTTTTTCGGCTGTGAGCAGTAGGCTGTTTTGATGCCATCTTAGCTTCTCTATGATGTCACAGATGTAAACAATGGGGGGATGGGCAGAGCGCCCTCTAGTGGTTTGATATAACTTTATGGCTAAAATGCGTACCTTGGGAACGTAGCAGTAGATTATTCCATGTCGGTCATCCACAATGAGATGATCCAGCTCCTTGTTGGGAATGTCATCAAATGAGCGGTTTTTGCCGGGAAACGCCACAGTATCGTTGGTGCAGATCTCCTGAAGTAACTGCCGCCTCCGCTCCTGGTTGAACCGTTTTATAAAATTATTAACAAGTTTTGTTAGGAGAGACTTTACACGTTTAAATGAGACGTAGTAAAACTGAAGTGTCTTGTCACTCGCCACACTGATGGGTTTTGAACTTTACCAATGCAACAATAAATACATGATAAAAATAAATCAATCGGATTAACCTGTCGGTCGTGGAGTTCTGTTGCTATGGGAGTCAGGTGGATCTTCCACTCCCTCCGAGGAATGTATCGCTCCTCCTTCTCCGACTGGTTGCTCGTGTCAACGGCGACGGTGTCCGTGGGCTCCCCAGTGCCTGGCTCCAGGAACTGGTTGACGAAGGCGTCAATGTCATTCAGGAAGGACGGGGTCCGAGAGGTCTGAGACTTTGGCTGGGGAGGGGGTTGCGGTGGGGCCTTGGGGCCCGGTGACACGGGAGTGTGCAGGTAGAAGTGGGAGGCCCCCACGTCGTCCCAGTAGATAATGATCAGGAGGATCATGAAGGCCGAGCCCAGGACTACGAAAATGCGGAACATCCTGGTCGTTCCCATGGCGACGGCTGCTTGTGACAAAGTCACCATAGCAACAGGTTTATGAGTTTACAGGGTGTCTCCACAGCATCGTCATGGCAGCAAATTAAAACAGGGCAGCTTTGTTTTCAAAATGTGACCACAGGGGCAACTAACTGGGATTATGGGTCCTGTGCTACAGGGTTACCATGGTAACAGAGCCCAGAAGCCTCATCTCACTATGGCGGTAAACACAGCGACTTTGGCAGAGTCTGTGGTCGGATCAGGCTCATCATGATGCTGCAATGCAGGAGCGGACTGGAACCATTATGAACTCGCCTCCAAACCTGCACACAACACACACAGACACAGATCCAGATTATTTCTGTCTCATCCACTTTCATTTCTAATTCTAACCATCAGGTTCTGTATTTGGCATTCATCACTTGTCAGTGAATAAAAACACAAAACTAATTTGTTACTACATTCAAAACACTAAATCATTTCCATTTTTAAACAATTTGTCCATCAGATACTGTAACGTTAAGAAAATAAAGAATGATTTAAACTACAGGCATTGGAGGAATACACATAGCCCACTGCTTTTAATGTGAGAGTTTAAAACTAAGATCATCGTCTGTTGAGAATACCGTCTCTAAAACTGGCTCTTCTTGTGTTCCAATCCAACTTTATTTGTAAAGTACTTTAAACAACCGTACAGACCCATTGTGCTGTACACAGCAGACAATTTAAAGAATAAACAGTGAAAACAAAGAACAAAACTGTTGAAACAATAAAATCCAATATCCTGATGCATGCTCAATAATCCAGGTAGAAAAATCCAAAAAAGTTCAATCTGGTCCTCTGGACATTCAAAAAATCAAAACAAAGCAAAAAAATGTAGAAATGTTTCGTCTCTCATCCAAAAGACTTCCTCAGTCTGAGGTGCTGTATTCAGCTCAGTCTCTTAAATAGC